TTGTCCTCTATTCTACAAACATCTTGCCAGGACTAAAAGGCACCAGAGTGGCCCGGACTACAATGAAACAACAATCAACTCCAGGACGTGGCAGCACCCCCAACCCCCCAAAGACGATCAACGCCCCAGGCCAGCAGGAAGCAGCCTTAAGACATCTTCGCCCCTACTTCCCTAACCTGCCACGCCCAATTCTCTAACTTTTATAATAAACAACAGCCGGGATTGTAAGAACAAAACACCTGGATGACCCTAACCCCGCCCCCTAACAAGCGGGTACTCACTCACCCGCCATGCCTTTCGACCTTTGCCCTACTGCGCATATGCAATCTTCCCTTTAAAAGGTCCTGCCCCACACCCCTCTTCCCTTTTCTCTCGGCTTCCCTAGGGTTGGCTGACTGCCCATCCCCTTTCCCCCTTCTCTGATAAATAAACTCCACGTGGGTTGATTATTCGTTGTTCCTTTCCTTATTAGCAGCTGCAGCTTAAACAAAAGAACAACACCTATACTTTCCATATGGCAAGTTCACTCAGCTCTCATTGGGAGTGTTTGGGCATCTTCTATACATTCTTTCTAGAGCTATGGCCTTAGAGAATGTTTTGCATTATCTTTTTGAGATAAGTCCTATATTTAACTCAGGAAAACAATGCTGGTGACTTTAAAAATATTAAGAGTTCAAGGTGAAGGTGGGCAGTGTCAAGTAGGAGAGACTAAATTTATTATCATTTTTCCAGACGAGGGTTCTCACCTATACTATATACTGAAATCACCAGGATGAATGTCTGACTAGTTAAAGCAGTATTTCTGGGGCTTTGATGCCAGGAGGATCCCAAAGACTGGGAGTATTTCAAAGCTGCAGGGAGAACCCAAACAGAGTGCCTCTGCATCCTTTGATGGTCTCAAGATGGACATTTAAGTAGTCAGAGCTGTGTGATGCATGATTCTTTCCCCACAAGGCCACTCAACCATAGTTGCTGAGTGCTGGCTGGCTCTTCCACTAGTTAAACACGAAATAAATCATCAGAACAGAGCCCAACCTTCTCTATTCATCAGAAAGAAAAGTCATAAGCAAACAAGCTAAAAGATAATTTTTGTTAAATAATGAACACTCGTAAAACAGCAATGACATGGTATTAAAACATCTGTGGTTACTTATTTCTCAGCATTCATCTGGCAACTGAAGCAGCATGAAGCAAGAGTTGCACTTAAAAAAATGACAAGAAAATAGCCATTCATTTAGTCGACAGAGTAAGGCCCATCTCATTTCCGGGATCCCAGTATTGCTGCTCATAACCAGATGAGCGTCCAAGAGTTAAACATCCTGTGTGTCTTCACAGTTCCTTTCCCTCTGGCTCCTGGGGCAAATGCTGGGCTTGTTCTTGAGAGAGGTGGGGCCATGGCTGCCTCCCCTTTAAGATTAATGAGGCCCCAGAACTGTGTATTGCTGGGTATCTGCAGGAAGCCTGATGCTCCAAGCTGGGGCAGCGTGCTGGGACTGAGCAGGGCCCTGGCCCGGGTAGGCGCTATGCTCCTCTAATTTTGCATTCTCAGGCAGGACTCATCTGTGGACAAGAGATAGCAGATCTCCCAGCAGGTGCTTCCTTTTCCTTCTCAGCCCCACTTGTTTCTGACAAGAAAGCCACAAAGATGGGGGACACTGAGGAGTTAAGCAGGCCACAGCTAGTGGTGACATGTCTCCTGCATTCTGCCTATTGCACCATATTCCATAAAAAATAAACGTATTTTTAACTGTTTGTATATTGCTAATGGGGTGGTGGTCCAGGCACTGGCAGGCTGCAGAGCTGGGTTGTCATCGATCTACTAGAATCCATCCAGGGTCAGCCACTGGGCTGGAATCTTTGGAGCTTCCATGTGGAAGAATCAGCATTGCTGGCTGCCTGGTGCTCTGCACAGTGCTGAAGATGTAGTGGAAGGATTAAAAAAAAAGAAAAGAAGAAGAATTCCAGGAGTAGAAGATTCCAGGGCATCATGGAATTGTTTGACAATCACTTGTACTGTACAGTATCACACAGGTGTCTCTTCTCTGCCCTCACACACGTGGCCCGGCTCCCCCTCCTTCCAACAGCCTTTGGGAAGCTCACAGGTGGTTGTTCTTGGAGAGGTAGGCGATGAGGGCGACAGCCACACCCACGTATATGCCAGTTCCAATGGTGATGGATAGCACTGCCAGGAACAGGGCCCTCCGGGAGCTGGTGCTGGCCTGATGGAAGTCTCCTTTGGCCACAGCTTTGTTTGTCTGCAGAGTTGGCAGAGAAAAACAAAGGGAGAGTGAACAAGTTGGGAATAATGGTGATGAGAGGGTTCTGCTTGGCTCCTTTCTAACATTCAACGTCACTGGATTACAGACAGGATTCACCAATACAGGCAAGGACAAGGGGAACAACATGTATTCCTATAGTGACTGGGCACCAGGTTAAGTCTCTGACTGTTAAAGAAATGTATGGCTGGTGTTTGTCACTGCTTTCCACAGGTCAAGGGAGTCAAAGCCCCCATTCTGTCTGGTCTCAAGGAAGTCACATATTGAAGTATCCTAGTGAGACCGCAAATGTGAAGGCAGGGTCTCAGGAATGATACGCCAGAGATGGGTGAGGCTCTCATCTCTACTGCCATTCTACCTACTCAACAATGGTATACTTTTCACTAGGACAATGATTTCTAAAGAGCATTTTCCAACCTCTGTAGCCCGATAGAAGAGAGGGCATAATATTATTAAATGCATCCCAGAAGTCTCGAGGCTCCATTCGTCAGCTAGCTGGGGTTGGTCACATTCATTTATTGGTGAAAGTATTCTGTAGAAGGCCATCATCTCTGTGCTTGAGCACTTGGTTATAAACGGGGCATTGGTTTAGCTAGATTTAAACTTCTTGGAGTCAGGGGGTAAACAGTGATGTTGAGATTAGATATTGGCTCAGAATCTAATCTGAGCGTTTGGGGGCAGATCCTGAAAGCCCTTCTCTCATTCCTCCCTTTCTCCTTCCTTTTCACAGTTGAGAGTAAACACACTCTCCAGGAAGGGGAGTTGGGTGTTATAGGAAGGTCTCATCCATCTCTGGAAGAACTTTGGGAAGTATTTCCTTTCCTGATAAGACGTGAAGGACATAGTCCTCCTTCCTGCCTGGGACATGGCTATGGGATTATCTATATAATGTGTATTTTGAGGCTGGGGGAAATCACAAAGGCGATTACAGAAGCCAATGTCAACACTGAGAGACTCCTGACCCAGTTCTAGAAGCCGCCTGCCCCACACCTGCTGGCTGAGGAACATGAGCCCCCGTGTTCAGATTCTACTGACTGGCTGGGACTCTGCCAAACCACACTGCTCCTTGATTCAGGAAGCCGAGTGCTGTTGGATTAAGTTGTAGCAATGTGGAGGGACTTCCTGAGTCTGGTGGCTCATGGGCTAAGACACATGATCCCCTGTTGCTCTTGGTGATGCTTAGGAAGGCTAATCCTTAGAAGCAGAGGACTCTGGTCAGAAGAAGAGCAGAGCCCACTCTTCTGTGGCATCCCCTAACTCATTCTCATGAGCCATTTCTAAAAAAACTGTATTCTCTCACTGGCTCCACTTTTCATGGTGTGTCTGTGGTATTTGTGCATTATATGTGGGTACAGGAGGACATGCTATTCACTTAACCTAAAAATGATAACATGTGCCATGAGCCATAGAAGGTCAGACCTGGAGACAACTGGTGAGTGGGTTTTCATTTTCCAAATCTCCTGATTCTGATTTAGTGAGACTGGAAATCTGTGATGTGTGCATAAGGACTGGCTTCTGCCACTGAACCCCTTCTCTGGACACTAACTTCTGAATCTTGAGAGCTAGGTTTTATTTTTCCCCCCTCATTTCTTGCCTTGGCATTGAGCTTGGAAGCTAGCAGTGGACAAGGTTCTGATGAAGCAGAGTTGAGGTAATTTAAAATGAGAAGCCTCAAAGGATAGCAGTAATTAATTAATTAAGCTATAATTAGCTGGGTTTCATTTTATATAGCTATGCTTCCAAACACTCCAATGTCCTATAACATAATTCGCTGTAATTGCCCTTCTTGGCATTAACCCCAAACAGCCCTGGGACATTAGACAGCAGCGTGACTGTCTGTTGTATCCTAGACTTCACATGGTGTGCCTGGGCTAGGATGGAGGAGGGGAGGCAAAGGAAGCCTGGGAGGGGGTGGAACCCACTTTAGCTGATCAAGAACCTTCTAGAAGATCTCCTGAGTGCCACTTTCTTGTCTCATCAGAATTGAATGTGTGGGCACTTACTATGGACCAGGGTCTGCACTTCCCTTGTCCTCTATGGTCACAGAGAGCCTAGAGCATGCACACAGGTGGCAGTGGTGATGTTGGTGGGCAGTCAATAACTATCAATGGATGACCAAGTATGTAAGGGCTGAAATATCACCTACAAAAGCCATGCAGGGTTTAGCCCTCAGTAATGGATCTTTGTTTTTCCAGGAGTGAAAGCAGGGAGTAGTGGCCTGCCCAACCCTGCAGATGAACTCCAGCCCAGTACTGAAGGTTTTGAGTGTAGGGAGCTGAAGCACTCATACCCAACGTCTCCGTGTCTGAGGACCAAGCTTACTTCTTCCTTCTCCATGAGAACAGATGACATTTACCAACCCCATGACCTCAGGCAGTGGATTCCATACCAACCCTTCATGTCAGAAAGTGGATGACTGTGCCTACCAGCCTTCCTCTTGACCCTTTGGGAGGGGACAAACCGAAAGAAATGCCTCCCTACTGGCTAATGACATCAGGTTCTTTGGTAGGTTTATTGCTAGCTTGTCTGCAGATGATGGAGGCAAGACAGTGTACAAGTGTTTTCTTCATAGGACAGACTGGTCCAGCTCAGTTGAATTCTTCAAGTAGCCCAGCTGCTCCTAACCACTATGTTGGGGAAGGGGAAGGAGGAGAGGAGGGACAAGGGACAGAAGTAACCAGTGCCTCTCCAGGCAACAGAGACACCGTTGGGGTGGGGAAGTTGCCTGGAATGAACAGTGCCTGGAATAACTAGATTTGTCTACACGAGGTTCTACACAGGAAACTCCTATGGCAAAAGTCAATGTTTAGACAGTACTCCAGTAAGTTGGTCTCAGGGTACCCTGTGTGTGTTTAAATACTGCTTGCTTGTATGTGAACCAGCCACCTACCTGCTCAGCTTCCCTGAGACCCAGACCTGTTGCTCTCTGCCCCAGCCCTCACAACCTAGAAGTTTGTGTCCATCATATGTTGTTAAGAAACATGACATCTCCAACTTCTGTGGCCATAAGCAAGGCTACTCACTTATGTCCCACAGTTCTTGTGGTCAGAGGTCTGGCTTGTCAGTCTGACTCGGATTCTGTTGTGGTCATCTCCCCATCCTGTGGAAGATGCGTGCTACTTGGGCTAGAAAGAATTGGATCTGTTCCCATCCCTGTGGGTTCCTCCTCATTCTTCCTCAGGATTCAGTACTCAGGTCCCACCTGCCCTCAGTGGCTCCTGGCAATCTCGCCCTGATCCTTTCTCAGGTATGCGTGATCGTCTTCCAGATAGACAACTTGCTAATCCTCACTGTAGCTCAGAATCTTTGCCTCTAGGAGGTCCAAGCCATAGGGTTACCCACTACCCCTAAAGCCACTGGGAAACCAGCATGTGGTCCCTGGGAGATAGTAACTAATACTACTATCGAAACACATACAGAATGTCTACCTGGGGGCTCCTCTAGCCAGAATGGAATCTAATCCCAACCAGCCTTTGGAGTGTAACCAAATTCAGGCTCCTGGGCTTAAGAGGCTGCACTTCTGGAGGGTCACCACAGGTGGCTTTCTTTCAGTTCTTCCTCTGCCACTTTAGAACCCAGAACTTTGAAAGCCACCAGGCTGAGTAGGAGGGAGGTGACAGTGTGCAGCAAGCATTAAATATGCCCCCCACCCATCTGAATACACCTTCTAGCTACAAAAATGGTATGATTCACAAAGTCAGGAGAAGCCCTGTTAGCCTATGCCTTAACATGGGAGGAACACTGTTGCCTTCTCCCCTTTCCCTCAGTGGATTAGGAACAGGCTCCTTTGTGCCTGGGTATTTCTTTCCCGCCCTTAGGTCAACATGTTCTGAGTAATGTTTGTCATAAAACAGAAAGGGCAGGAGGCTCACAACTCTCAAGTAGCAATGGCTCGATGTGCATCTTTGCGTGCCAGAGGAGTAGGATGGACATAGGGAGTTGGCTTAGTGTGGTCAGCAGCCGTGGCTTCTGTACTCTTGAACATTGCACAGGTGGATTTCAGCCCACAGATAGTCACAGGAAAGGGAAAGAGCACCTTAAAAACTGGGCTGGTAAGATGGTTGAGTTTATAAAGAACAGGGCTTACTGCGTTCGAGAGGACCTGAGCTCAACCCCTAGTTGGCTGTGGCAGTGTGTACCTGCAAACTTAGTGCAGGAGAGACAGGGACCAGAGGAACCCCGGGATTTGTTGGCTAGCCTGTCGAGTCAAATTGGCAAGCTCTAGTTTCAGTGAGAGACTGTCTCAAAAACTAAATGGAAAGTGATTGTGGAAGATCTCTGCCACTATAAGCTTCTGAACATATCAACACATGTGCACACACACACACACACACACACACACACACACACACAGCGAGAGAGAGAGAGAGAGAGAGAGAGAGAGAGAGAGAGAGAGAGAGAGAGAGAGAATAAGCAACTATAAGGCAGACACATATGCAAGCACAGGGTTTTAGACATAACTAGAAAGGGAGAAACCACTTAAACCACGAGGAGCTGGGTATACAGAGGCCACTACACCACTGCATACACTCTGGTTCCTGAGCTAAAGAGCTCTCTTCTTTTGCCTGGCTGTAAATATACGAGGAAAACATGGTCTTAAAATCAGAGAGCAAAAAGGAGCCCTTAAGACTCAAGAAAACAGTTCACCTTCAGGAATGAAGAGCAGTTCCAGCTGAGACAAAAAGGGCTGAGACGGAGCTCAGTATAGTGCACTTGCCTGGAAGGCCTGGCTCCCTGGATTCCGTCCCTCACTCCACAACAAGTAGATGAAATAAAGTAGTAAATAAAGAAACAAATGAAATAAAATCTTAAATTGAGAATATAAAACCTCTAAAAAATGGAGAATTCTTGGTGAGGACAACTGTGCATTGGCTATAATTGCCACTACCTGCTCATGTCTCCTTAGACTAGACTGATGGCCACCCAACAAATGGGTCAAAGGAACACACTGTGAAAAAGCTCAAGGCTTTCTGACATGT